GGGGGGGGGGGGTGAAAGCGCTCACCTGGTTCTCCGCGGGGAGGCGGGGCATGGAGGCCGCCCGCGCCTGGCCTTCCATGGGGACGTAGTGCTCGCTGTCTGAGTAGCCGTCTCTGCCCATCTCTCGCATCTCCACAGACTGTGGGGCACAGGGCGAGGCCGGTGAGTCCGGGACCTGACGCTCGGACCCCAGACCCTTCCCTCCTGTACTGCTCGCGCCCGGGAGCTGTGGGGCGGTGGGGGGTGGGGTCGGGGGGACAGAGGCACCTGGGAGTTGGGCTGGCTGTTGGGCATGTCGGTGGGAGGCCCCCGCTCTGGGCTCCACGTTCCGGTCTTCTGGAACATCTCCTGGGCCCGCTGGGTCACCCAGGACGGGCTCTCCTTCATGCCGCTTTCGTGAGCCAACCTGTGCGGGGGGACAGAGGCCCGGGTGGTAGTGGGCACTCCAGGGGCGGCTGCCCTGGGGGATGGCGCCCCCTGCCCTCCCATCCCCACCTTCTGGCCAGAGCCACACTCACAGGCCTCCTCCTGGGTCCAGCTGGGAGGACGGGAGGGCGTTCTGGCCAGGGCCCCCCTCCTGGGTTGGGGACGGGGGCTCCATGCGCTGGAACATGAGTGGTGTCCGATTCTGGGGGGACAGAGAGCAACGTGTGTGCACAGGGAGGAGGCTGGGGATGGTGTTCAAGGCTCAGGCTCTGGCCACGGCTGCAGCTGAGAGACAGCAGGGGCGCTGTGCCGAGAGTGTGCCACCTTCCCCCCACCCCCCGCCAAATGCCCAAAGCAATTCCCTCCCTGCAAATCCATGTGGAACGGGACCACTTCTCAACCCGGTCTGGCCCCCTCATCTCCCACCTGGACCTGGAGATTCGCCTCCTCCCGGGTCTCCCGGCCCCAGCCCTTACCAGCTACGGCCACCAGAGGGCGGCCACCTGAGTGAGGTCGCTTCCCACGTCTAACGAGGAGCAGGGTGGCTCCCGTCTGACCCAGAGCAAAAGTCAGATTGCCCCCAGGGTGCCCAAGGCCCCCAAGGCGGAGCAGATGAATTCGTCCGGGCCACCTCCTTGGCACGGCCCTGCTTTCCAGCGACCTGCTCTGGGTCCTGGCTACCCCTCGCTGTTCTGGCCTGTCACCGCGGTGCCCGCAGGGCGACGGGCACCGGAGCGGAGGGTGCTGGGGCCCAGGGCCGTACCTGCTCCTCACGCAGGGCCTGCAGCTTCTTGGCCTTGCTCTGCCGGTAGTATTCCATAATCATCATGGCCGCGTAGATCTTCCCCACGGTCAGGTCTGTGGCTGGGGGGGGGGGCACAAGACGAGCTCGCCGTGGGTGGGGGCCCCGGAGGCACCAGCCTAGTCCCTGCACCTGCCTCCTCCTCTCTCCCGCCCCTTCCGTCCTGGCGGGTCAGAGCCCGGGGCCGGGCGAGGCACGGCTCTTACACTTGTGAGGGGTGACCAGCAGGTCGAGCGTCTTCTGGGACAGGTTGGGCCAGATGGCCATCATCTCCTTCCTCAGCTCAGCGTCCATTTGCTGCTTGTCGGCCCCGCCTGCAACGTGGGCACAGAGAGGCCCTGACTGCCCGCCCGCTCGGGCTCTAGAGCCCTGATTCTCACGGGCCACCAGTTCCCTGTGGGCCTGTCCCGGAGGAGGAATGGCTACGTGGGCCTCGATCCTGGGCAGGGCCAGGGCCGCGGAGTGGCTGTGTGGGGGACAGCAGACATCAAGAGGGTCCAGCCGTGCAGTCTACCGCCCCGGGCCTCGGTATTCCCATCCGCGAAACGGGACGGTGGCAATAGGACCCACCTCACCGGATCGAAGGCCACAGTAGGTCATATGCGTGTGGGCTCAGGGCAGTCTCTGCTAGAGGATTATTAGCACGGTGGCCCGTGCATCTGAGACGCGGCCCGGAGTAAGGCCCAGAGAGGCCGGGGCGTCCCAGAGCAACCCTGCTAGAGGAGACTTCTCCTTCAACCAAGCCTCCCCTCCCCCGGATGTGACCTGCTGCCGCTGCTGGCCTTTGGTCCCTCACCCCAGCCACGGTGGCCACCGTCTCTTTGCCAGTGATTCCTGGTCCCTCCTGCCTGAGTGCACGGGAACATGACTCTCCCTAACCCCTGGGACTGGCCGGGGCCCGCGTGAGGAGTTCTTTCTAATGAGCTGTGAGCACCGTGAACCGTCACTTTCGGGCCGGGGCATTTGATGGCCAGCGAGGGCCACTCTTGAGTTCTTTCTCCCTCTGGTGATATTACGGATCGTGGCTGCTCCCTCAGGCCTGGTGCCTAAGTGACTGACGGACAGAGCCCCCTGCCGACCCAGGGAGGACACACAGCAGGAACGGGAAGCAAATCTTTGTCGGCTGGAGACCTTGGGGCTGTTTGTTCCAGAAGCAGCACGTTCTCCTCCATCTTGCCTGAGACACCAACCTGGCCCCAGCGCCGTTTCGGAGCCCCCAGCCCCGGGCACAAGGGCACTGTTCCTAACTTTTACGGGCAGGCACGGAGCCACAATAGTCACAGAGCTAGAGCAAGGGCCGGAAGGCCCCCTGCAGGCCAGATACGGACCCTGCAGTTGCTGGATTGTGGGGGGAGGCCCAGCAGGTGTGGGGAAGGGCAGGGGCCAGCTACCCCCCTCCCCCACCACAGAGAAGCATTTCAGCGTCTCAGCAGCCATCCCCTGGCGCATGCCCGCTGAAGAGCTGCTCCGCCTGGGGAGCCCCAAAAGCCCGCTTTGCCTCTCCTGGCCTGGTGTCTGCCTCTCTGCCCTTCCTTCCCCG